AATCCGGTTCTGTGAGACTTCCGTGGCCGACGAGGGCGCGGCCGGCGAGGGCGCGGCCGACGAGGGCGTGGCCGACGAGGACCCCCTGGTTCCCTGGCTTCAGGGCCATATTCTGAGTTGGTCCCTCTCTGGCCGTCGAGAGTCTCCTGGCCGACGAGGGCACCACGGGGTGGCTGTGCTTTCTGTTCTTCTGAGTGTGTGGGTCCTGGGGCCCGGACCCATATACTCCATCAATGCAAATGATAGAGATAGTAGGAAGTCGACCACTTCTTATGTTTTTACTTTGTGTGGCTCTTGCATTAGTTGGAAGTCTCAACTGCAGCCCATTATGGCCCTTTCTACCACTGAGCCCGAGTATGTTGCGGCCACATAAGCGTTTAAGGAAGCCATCTAGCTCAAACGCCTTCTCTCCGAAATTGGGTTTCTCAAACAGGGAGTTACCATTTTCTCGAATAGCCAATCGGCTATCCAACTTTGCAAAAATCCTGTATTTTATGATAGAACTAAGCATATTGATGTTAGGTTCCATTTCAAACGTGGTATTGTTGATGCAGGTGGAGTCAAGTTGTGCAAGATCACATCCGAGTTTAATCCCGCAGATATGGGTACCAAGTGTCTTTCTGCTGAGAAGCACTTGTTCTGTACACGCGTGTTAAACTTTGATTGTGGATAACTGTGGGTTGCCTAATAAAGTGTTTGCCCGTTTTATCTGTTGATATTCCGAGTGACCCGACGATGATGAGTCTTGTTACAACATTGTATTGTTACTCTACACCACCTAGGACCAATAAGGTGGAGAATGTTGGAGGTATTGGTCCTACCAAGGCCTCCCTTCCATTTTATTTGCTGAGGCTTTCACCCTATGTTTTATTCCCACTTTGGCACCTTTTACCTTCGTATATTATGTGATCAATTATATACCTGTTGAGTGTTTGACTCACCTACATGGCTGGCCCTCCTCTGTTTCTGTCCGATGCACTCCTTGTCTAGGTAACATGTGAGGCTTTTTTGGTTTGCTTCACCCGTGACTCTTGTTTTGGTCTTACCCGTGACTTTCTTTCTGTCAGCCAGCCTAGCTACTATATAGAAGCCTTGCTTCTTCCCTTGTTGAGTAGCCTGCGAGAGTAACACTTCCAGAGAGCAAAGCTCCCTTCTTCTTCCTTTCCTTTGTGTGAGAGTAGAGAGGTCCTTAGTGGAGAGTAGAGAGTGGTGTGCTATAGCCTCCTCCTAGTGTGGTGCTTGTGAGTAGAGTGTAGAAAGACCTGAGCCGGAGACGGATATACGATCCTATTAGCAGTTCTCCTGATGGTCCTTCTACTCCTATCTCTAGCAAGTTGATAAAATATGCAATTCATCACTACTAGGCTCCACATGCAACTCATGCAAATTATTGTTATCATGAAAATCAGATTCAGCACCCATATCATGCAAATCATGCTCAGTATCATGCAAATGCTCCAACTCACTCGAGGTGGTGGGACTATCATGCTCAGAGGAATCAGAATCATGCATAACAATATCATCAGTAATAACAGGATCAACAGATAAAGGACTAGCAACAACAGGGACAGACTCCATCTCACTAGGAGTACTATTCGACCTAGATTCAGGATTAGAAACAGGCTTAGTCAAGCAAGGAAAATCAGTTTCATTAAACACCACATTTCTGCTAAGGACCACCTTAAAGCCTACGTCGTTCCTATCCCATAACTTGTAACCCTTTACCCCTCCGGATAACATAGGAAGACACATTTATGAGAACTAGGATCCAACTTGTCAACTTGTTGATGTGCATACGCTGCACAACCAAATACCCGAAGGTTAGACAGATTAAGAGGCTTATCGGTAAAGACGGTTTCAGGACACTTACCACCAAGAGGGACAGACGGGGACCTATTAACCAAATAGGCAGCAGTAGTAACTACTTCACCCCAGAATTTCTTAGACAACCCAGAGGTAGCTATCATGCTTCTAACCTTATCCAACAGAGACCTATTTATTCTCTCTGCTATCTCATTCTGTTGGGGAGTATAAGGCACAGTTTTGTGCCTTTTTATCCCACAATCCACACACAGCTTATCCATCTCCTTATTACAGAACTCTAACCCGTTATCAGTCCTAAGGGTTTTAACCTTCCTGCCAGTTTGGTTTTCAACTAGGGTTTTCCACTCCCTAAACCTCACAAACACATCAGACTTGTGTTCTAAAAGGCAAACCCACACCTTCCTAGAAAAGTCATCAATAATAGAAAGGAAATATTTCCTACCCCCATGGGTAGGAACACTGGCGGGGCCCAAAACATCGGCATGAACATATTCAAGCACAGACGAACACTTAGACAGATTAGGGTAAGTGGAGGGAGGGAAGCTGACTCTATGCTGCTTGCCTAACACACATGATTCATAGAAAGGCTTAGAAGTCACAGAGTCCTTACCAAAATAACCAGCCTTACGCATGACATCTAAACCCTTATTGCTCATATGTCCTAGCCTATTATGCCACAAAGAGGTCTTATCAGAACATACAACATTCACAGAATCAGCAAAAGGTTTAGCATGACACACATAAAGGTTATTCACCTTCTCAACTTTAAACAAAACAAGAGAATTTTTCAAAATTTTCATGCAACCATTCCCCCACTTTCCTTGTAAACCACTACTCTCCAAAGCAGCAACAGATAACAAGTTATGACACAAATCAGGGACATGTCTCACATTCTTAATGGTAAACACAGAGTCACAAGAAAATTTCAGACATATATCACCAACACCAAGCACATTGCATCTCTTATTATCAGCTAAGGAAACGTAGCCACTATCACATAATTCATATGTAGAAAACAAATCTCTAAAGGGGGACATGTGATAGGTACAACCAGAATCAATCAACCATTCTTGCTCAGACAGGGAATTTCTCACAGAATTAACATGGTCACAAACCATCAAAATGTCACCAAGGTCACATCTATCAACAGCTACACTAGCATGCTCGGTCTTCTTAGGGTTAGGGCAATCCTTAATGAAATGGACAGCGTTACCACAATTGTAACACACTCTCTTCCTAGATTTGTTCCTCTTCCTCCCTGGCTGACTAATGTTCTTACTTTGACTATTTTGCTTAAAGTGTTTAGATCTACTCTTAGATCTACCTCTAACAAACATAGCCTCACCGGAGTCCCTGGACTGACTATGACTACCCCTAGCACGCTTCAGGTCTAATTCCTTACTCCTTAACCCATTAACGACAATATCTAGTGAAGTCTCATCCCTACCATATTTAATAGCGGGCTTAACATCATTATAAGAGTCAGGAATGGCATTAAGTAACAGTATGGGAGTATAATCGTCTATGTTTTTATCACCTGCTCTATATTCTGTATCACTTTATTAAACACATCTAGGTTCTCATCTATATCCTTGGTCAGGTCAAGCCTAAACCTAAAGAATTTCTCGTAGAAACATCTTCCCGGGCAAAGAGGTATCAGTATAGAGACTATCCAATTTCTCCCACAAAGCCTTAGAGGATTCAGTAATACTCACTTTCCTAAGCACAGAATCAGATAGATTCAAGTACATAGTAGAACAAGCAGTTTCGTTAATTTCACTTTGCTTAGCCTTATCTTCTGATTCAAGGAAAATACTAGTGACAGCTCTGAAAACTTTTTGTTGTATTAAAACACACTTGATTTTTTGTTTCCATATGTCAAAATCTTGTTTCCATTAAATGGAAGCATACCATACTGATTAGCAGTCATGGTATCAACCACAAAATAACACAAAGCTAACAAACAAATTTGATTGAAAAATAAATCAACCTGGGCTATAAAGTATCCACTTTAATAACCCCGGGCAGCATGCAACAGATAGCAATTTGGACAGTTTGGCACCTAAAACAATTCCATGCAGCAATTAAAAAAAATTAAATCCACCCCTAACACCCAATAAACCACCCCTACCCATAACAATTGAATTAAATAACACTTAGCAATTCAAATAAATCAACTAAAATAATCTGCCACAAAGGAGAGGGTTTAGCAAACGCACCTGGGGGGGTTGGCGGCTGGGATACAATCTACCGGTGGCCCGCGGGGAGGGGGAATAAATTAAATCCGGAGGCACCCGGTGCACCTAGGGTGTTTATCGCCAATTTACCTTAGCGAAACCCTAGGAGAGGGTTTCGACCTTTCCTACCCAATTAAAATTGGGATTTTCGGACTGTTGACTGAGTTTGACCAAGGTTGACCGGCGTTGACCGGCAGTGAGTGGCGGTCCAGCTGCTCCAGCAACTTCAGCAGTCCAAGTCAGCAGCCCAGGTCCAGCTTGGCCCAGCAGTCCAGTAGCTCAGCAACGACTCCAGTTCAGCAACCCAGCTCGAGTTCAGATCACCCAGTCAATAGCTCCTTTAGCTCCAGAAGCAGTCCACCAGGCCTAAAGTCAGCCAAGCAGCTCCAGCACTACAAAAGGAACAACCCAGGTCCAGAGGCCTAAAAAAGGAACCCAAGTCCAAGACTCTGCGTTCTCTCTGCTTCGTCTCAGTCTTCTGCGACCAGAGAGACGAACGAGCTCCAGGCCTTTTGCAAAAGGCGAACACTCAGACCGTCAGACGGCGAAGGCTCCGGCAACGACAGCTCCAGCGTACTTTTCTGGCGAAGACGGCTCCAGCAGACGGATCTCCAGGCGGCGATTCCCAGGCAGACAAGGCTTCAGCGGTGACCTCGACCTACGATCTCTGAAATCCACGGCGTATTCCGGAGGGCGGCGGCGGACGGCGACGGCAGACGGCGAACCTTCTCTGATACCACTGTTAGGATCGTATATCTGTCTCCTGCTCAGATCTTTCTACACACTGCTCACAAGCACCACACTAGGAGGAGGCTATAACACACCACTCTCTACTCTCCACTAAGGACCTCTCTACTCTCACACAAAGGAAAGGAAGAAGAAGGGAGCTCTGCTCTGGAAGTGTTACTCTCGCAGGCTACTCAACGAGGGAAGAAGCAAGGCTTCTATATAGTAGGTTGGCTGACAGAAAGAAAGTCACTGGTAAGACCAAGACAAGAGTCAATTGAAGTGTTTGACTCACCTACTTCCTAACTCACTAAAAGCCTAGGCAAATAAAGTGGAAGGAAGGCCTTGACCAATACTCCAACAAGTACTAAGGTTGAAATGATGGTTGAAATGATGATGGAAGGCAAAGCGGGCATTGAGGGCTTTGAAAGCTGTGGTAAGGATACAAGCCATTTTTCGTGGCAGACAAGTGAGAAAGCAAGTTGCCCTGACACTAAGGTCTATGAAGGCTCTTGTTCTAGTTCAGGCCCGAATTATATCTCAATCTGGTCAATCACATTTTCATACTTCAAGATATCCAATCAGGCAGGCTGAGGTAACTTTCACTCGTAATGTTCATTTTATTTCATCAAGAGCAAGTCTGGTTCTTTGGTTGAAATGATTGAATATGCTGAACTTTTCTGATAGGAAATGTTTTTTGTATCATTTATTTCAGCCAAATAAGTAAATATAAAGGCTGCCAAACAGACTAAGCCATGTCTATCTAGTTGTATGATAGTGTTTTAATGTTTTTGGGTGCTGCAGAAACGTTGGTGTAATAGGCGTGGAACACTGGAGGAACTAAACTCTATGTTACAAATGAAGCAAGATGGTGTTTTCAGAAGGGAGAGAGCAATGTCATATGCCATTTCTCAAGTGGTAAGTAAACATAGATAACTTTTAAGATATAAGAATGTGCTTGTTCTGAAATGTTTTCAGAAGGGAGAGAGCAATCTACCAACTTTTTCTAAAATATGGTTGGTGAAATTCCAATTTCATCATCATTAGTTGAGAATTTGTCACTGGGACATGAACTAATTTCACCATCAGACCCTTTAGAACGTTGGTAAAATGCGCTCACCTCGGAGTACTGCCAGAGTGCCATCCAGCTTGCAATATGTCTTAAATTCAGGTTGTAAATGAGAACGCGTTCGCATATTTGGACAAAATTCCCAATGAAATGTGCGCACTATGCTACGATATACGGAGTCATGAAACTCTCACAACAAATATTTCCGAAAGCTTCAACAGCATTTTAAAGAGATGTCCGATGTTTTGAATTATGAAAAAGTTGTCAGACTACTATTCGCGTGACCGGTGCACAACCAGCTTGATGCGGGAGTAAGCTGAGTTTCTTTATCTAGAAAATATATTTAAGGATACATATAGAAGGGAATGTTATAGATCGTTTGCAGCGAAGACAATGCTGCATTGTTATCCCGCACAATCGCACCATAAAGATTTATTTGGTTGCAGTCGGCGATTATACACCAATAAAGGTAGATCTTTCAGCCTGAGAATATGACAATGAATATTGGAAGCAAAACGGGATGCCATGTGTGCTTGTTTACAAATAGCTATGATCTAGTCATTCCGGAGGTGTAGAAATTAAGTGGATACATTCGTATGTATGCTAAAGATATTGTCAATGATGCGTGACGTGAGTGCATGGTAAAAGGACCAGAGTTGCTCAGATCGGTAGGCTCCAAAAGACAAGTTTTATAAATGAAATGGATATGTGCCTGAGGAGGATAACATAAGAATAGCCACATATATATGTTGTAATGTTTTTCAAATGTATTACTAATTTGATTTGTTCGCCATTTTGATTTTTTCAAGCACACAACAATGATTAAATTAATTAGTTTTGTTGGTACATTGTAGTCACTTAATAACATACCATAATCATGAACCATTTATATTAACTCCACTAACCTAACCTAAATGATTGATTATTTCTCATCTAATAACTCGTATACTTTGTTTAAATCAATCACTTTGAGCCACTACATCAATATTATTTTATTCTATCAAGTTTAACAAACCTACATAATATGGTAGATTGGAATTTGGGTTAAATGTCGTGTCTTGATATTTGTTTCTCCAATTCGAAATAAGGAAGTTAGTTCATATCAAAGTAACAAACCAGAATTCTAATTCTGGTTCTTGATTTATTTATCAATTTTATTTTCTCTGCTTAGTTCTTTTTACATAGCTGTGACGTAATGGTGTGTTTTGATACGAATGTGTAGCAACCAAGAACCAGAGTTTCCTCATATTCAAGAACAAACAAGAGGGTGACTCTAAACATGGATGATCATAACAAGGGGCAGGGCTCTAACTGGTTAGTAATTGAAGATGGTGAAACTCCTGTTTCCAGAGGTTCAGGACCAACAAGATCATTCTCCCAACCACTTGATCACAACCAGTCAGTGAAGATCAAGAGAAACTACATATCTTCTACACGGGTTTTGGGAAAAGAATCAAGACTTCAAAATATCCTTTTGATGATAGAGCAACAACCACAGACTCATCATCCATCTCAACCCCCAAAACTCTGTGAATGATCAAGCTATATGAATATGACTGAGTCTGTCAAGGCAAAAAGTAAACAGAAAGCTTCAAAACATAGCTCACCATTCCGTGGACCTACAACTCCGACAAATGCTGATAATGCTAATCTTTATTTGTTTCATACTTGCAAGGATTTTTATGTTCTAACGAAGAGTCCGCCCGTGAAGCTAGAAGCATAGTTTCAACTAGACTAGTTCTTTTGCATTCCATGCCTTTTTGTCTAAAAGACTGGGAGTAGTTCAACACCTAGTTGTCACAAAAGAGGGACTTAGTTTTTAGGATTTTGTTGTGAACACCAGAAGATTGTTTGCATGTTGAGATGGGTTTTTGTATATGTTATACAGTGCTAAGTGGTTTTTGTACAAGATTTGCAATCAGTGGAATGATTTTTTCTTACTTAACAGTGCTGGAGTGGATTAAATTTGCTCAATGTCCAGTAAAAATGATTTCAGCCAAATAAGGAAGTGAAATGTTCCATATTCTCCTTATCAAGATTATCGGGCGTATATCCTATTTGTATTAATGATAATTGTGTGATACTATATCAACTTTTTGTTAAATCAATTTTTGTGATTTGGTCTGGGAGGAATTACAGTCCAAGTAAAAACATCCTAACTCGATTAATATCTAGCTAGGTGCTCTGATCTCCCATTAAATCAAGCAAGCCACCTAGCTAACATTTTTATTGGCTCCTCAACTCTTGAAATATTTGAGTAGTTCTTGAACACAAAAGTTAAGGAATCTGAATCAAAATATGCTGGGTGTATAAAAATTTGATCTTGATTGTTGGCCTGGAACTGATATTTTCTGGCCCAGAATGATTCATATGCTCTTTTTTAATACATAGCTGATCTACTCCAAAAGTTAAGGAGTACAAATTATACTTGTGCATGCAATCAAGACATGTCCACTTTGACTCTAACAACAGCAACCACTCCAACCAGCTTTTCTTCTCAATAGCTAATTACTGTTTTGAATATTTAATTTATCATATAGGGTATATATATTCTTAACTAAGAAATCACTTTAAATAGGAGTAAAATGTAAACTAATAAATTCAAAAATATGATTCATTCTATTTTATTCCCAAATCAGAACCTATTTCATCCTAATAAAGGATTAATAAATCAAGTATAGTTTCTCTCCTTGAATGCGTTCTACTCTACAAAAAAACAATACGATCATATTTCATTTCATAAAATGTGTTATGTTTTTATATATCCTTTTAGGTATTTTTATCAAATTGATTTCACATATGGTAATCATTACTACCTCTCCTGTTGAAAGGTTCCATGACAAAATGACACAGTTATTTAGACAATAATTAAATAAGGTAATTCGATTATATATTGACAAATATCTTAATAGATACTCGATTGTATATAACATAATGGAGTTAATGTTGATAACCGTGATAGTATAAATGTAAAATTTTAAATATTTAATGATAAACTTGTCATTTAAGATTGTTAATTTGTTTAATTTCTAAAATGGAAATGAGAATATTTATATATGACATTCAAAAAAAGAAAGTGAAAACATTTCTATGGGACAAAGGGGGTACGGAATAATGTGACCTCATCCATGAAGACCTTTATTTAACATTGTTTTGTATATATTCAATTCAAGAATTCAAATAGTACAACCGATGCAATGAGGAAATCGGTGGAGAGGTCCGAAGTCTATTATTAAGGGGCGAGATTTGAAAAATTTATTGGCCAAATTTAAATTATCAATATATTTTTTAATAAAAGGGTCAAATGAGGTCTTCTATTAAATTTAATGTAGCCATGCTTGCTAAGCAGGCGTGGAGGCTGTTTACTGAACCTGATTCCTTAGTTGGGAAAGTTTATTTCAAGAAATAAATATATACATTAGAGTTTCTTGTTGTTAATAGTCGAGGCCCCTTCATCACCTCCCTATATCCAACCTTAGCTTGCGGAGTATATAAACAGACACTGGAACAAATAAAAAATACTATCATATCGTATAAGAAATGGGAATGGCAATGGTAAATATAGCCGGGAGCACCTTATGTAGTTCCGTGATTGAAGCTGAAGGGCAAACCTCTTCATTATCTTGATAGAGTGATAATTATTCGTCTTATTGCGAGCGTCGCGGTCTCTCCCAAGCAGGACTACGGTTTGGTTTTTCCTTAACAAATCTAAGGTTTGATTCTTCCGACCAGTGAATCCCCTACACTTGTGTTCGGCGTTGGGATTGGATTTGAGGCAGATTGAATTGATAACAATCCTTCCCAACCTTGACGACATCAAAGCCAGAATTCGGCGATCGATTTCTTCGTGAGCAGGGTAGCAAGGGCATGTCAGCGATGAAGATTACTGCCAGCGGTGGATTTGCTACGAGCGTGGGACACTGAGAGTTGCACGAATTTCGAGCAGGTCAGATGACGATTGGCAATGGATGATCAATTAGAGTGGTATCAAGGATACGGCATCCTCCTGAACCACCGCCATGGGTTGTACGAGGTGCTAGATTCCGTGGAAGTTTTCCTATTAGTTATTTTTTATTCTGTCATTTGGCTTCTTGTTATGATCTATGTTGTTAGGTTTGTCAGTTTGTTTGGTAATTCAGCCTTTTTTATGTCATTGAGTATGTTTAGATCTATGTGAACAAGGATGGCTGTATCAAGCCCGCTACATGGTTAGCGATTCGCGTTGCTCTTTCAGGGATGATCGTCTCTAAATCTGATCATAGGGTTTACAGTCGTAGTTGTTGAATTTTAGTTGATGTCAATTTTGTTTTTCCTTTTATTGACGTAATGATCCTAAAACTTATGATATGAAAGAAAGATAGTTGACGATCAAAAGAAATGGGAATGAATCTTATGCACCAAATTTGATATAAATTTGTTCTCAAAGTGATAAAAATTGTGGTGGGAAATTATATTGTAGGTACGTGTGTGGGGTATGATTGCATGAACCACCAAATGATGAAATCATGGGGAGTTTGAAGTAAAGTATGTGAATGAAGAGTGATTGATTGTGAACCAAAATCATAATTCCTTTGAAACTTGAAACCTGGCCTGGTGTTGTCGTTCTTCAATAGACTACACGTACAATGAGAAAAGAGGAAGATGGTTCGTGGGTCAGTTTTCGAAATTATGACAAACTCTACGTCTACATACATGCACTGCATGTATATATCCATCTGATTACATGCAACCCATACATTCAACTTTCGAGGCCTGAACTATTTTTAATTTGTCAGAGAATAAATACATTCATTGGTTTTCTTTTGTTACAATATAATTTAAATAATTTTCAATTGAATAATTTAAATGTAAATAAATATGAAATATTTTGTTGGATCAATGAAATACATCTTAGGTACCGTACCCTTGTATTTTTGCTGGGTACGGTAGCAATCGCCATATAATTAAGCATGAAAAACTGAAAACCGTGAAGTTAACAATGGTCTTGAAATATATATGTCAGGTAAGAAAACTTGAAAATAAGCTGAGATATACATATAGCCATATAGGGATCAATGGAGAAATATGTTTTCGAGAGAAAATAATGATAGTTCGATCTATTATAGAAAACACTTTATATGATATTTTATTGGTAAACACTTTGTCCGGATATATCTCTAATACAATTATTCCCACGAAATACATATCTCTAAAACAATTAAACATTATATCTCTTAACACTTCTCTAACAAAATAAGAAGAGAATCGTAAGAAACTAGAGAAACTAGAGGAATGAGGAAAAGAAACAAGATAGAGCAAATTGTAGATAATGATCAAACTTCGTATGAGACACAAGATCATAAAGGAACGCCAAGTCCAAAGATATGTTATTCAACTATCCTTAGTGTACTACACGAAGAAAAAAAAATTGTTGTTGTAACACCTACAAAATGAGAAAAAAATCTTGTGTCCACAAACAAAAACGTATTTTGCTATGTTATTAGTTTAAAGAGTACAACCCTATTTTTAAACTGGGAATGCAATGAAGAGGTTAGCTATGTACCACGATATGACAATTGACAGAAAATGTTCAAATGGAGATCCCAAAGATTTGGTGTGGTGTGATAATTTCATTAAATTTAATTCTAAAATGTTACAAATATATTTTTTTAAATACGAAAAAAGGAAATCAAATCACACGCATAAAAACTTATGAAAATGCCTTTTTAGCATCTCCAAAATGTAATAAAAGTGTCATGTAAGCCCTGAACCGTTATGTTCTAAATCTAAACTGTACTTTCGGACCAGTGGAACTTGGAAGAACAAAAAATTATGTACTCCCTTCATCTCATTTTACTTAGTCAAATTTGACTTTTCAAGTCTTGACGTCTAACTTTGATCCATTATATGTTTATATAGAGAAAGTATTTATAATATGAAAATGTTCTTTGTTTAAAATACTATCATAAAAGTATAAAATTATTAAATTTTGCATAAATATATTAGTTTAAATAATTAGTCAAAGTTTACCACCCTTGACTGAAAAAGTCAAAGATGACTAGGTAAATGGGGGCAGAAGGAGTTTTAGAGTGGCGAAGCCAAATTTTAAGATAAAATTGCTCCAAATAGTATTAAAACTTAAAGAAAATGAACAAGTAATTGTATGGTGACAACTCCGGTACCCATTTAAAAAATGGGGTACCGTACCTATCATTCACTTGAGTGGCCCACATCATTATATTATTTTTAATTTAGATTTAAATAATTCAACTGCAACACTCTCATTGGTCCATGTGGACAAAGGTATGATACCTTATGGGTACCATAGAATCTACCTAATTGTATTCTATCCCTGCTATTTCAAATAGAAGCCATTTGGAGTCGTTATTGCCAAAATATTTGTTATACTTGGCTTAACTTGACAATATTTACTATCATTAATGACTGTTTTTTATTTATGGTAGTAACAACTTATATTTCATACACAAACATAGCACTCGTATATATTTTGGAAATCTAGAATGTTTTATGCACTTCTATTTACGATAATTTCCATCATTTTTATACAAAGTACGTTGTGGTTTATAGATATTTATAGAGAAATTACCCAAAATAGGACTAAAACCGTTCGTATATTCCAAAATAGGACTATCATATTTTTATTCCCAAAATAAAACTAATTACCGCCATGTTTTGACAGTTCCAGATTTTAAAGTTTAAACATGGCAGTATTTTCCAAACTTAACAGTAATTACTTCTATTTTGGGATAAAAATATTGCAGTCCTATTTTGCAATTTTCAATTTTTTTTACTCATATTTCGGGAATTTTCCCATATTCATATATACATAAAAATACACTACAAAATTTATCTTTGGGTGTGAGACCCCTTCCCGCCCTCCTTGTTTTCACTTCTATTTGAGATTGAAGTTTTCTATTTTGATGACTTATGATTACACTGAGACAAGAAATGCATGCACATTGCATGTG